ATATTGTCAAATCAACTATGTCTACTTGTGTTCAAAATAAACAAAAATGTGAAATTAAAAAAAAAAGGTTTTGAAGAGTTTTAAATAACAACAAATCTAGGGAACGTTCAAGACCAAAAAGGAATCTTAATCATGAAAGCAGTTTGTCAATTAACCCTTTCACCCCTAGGTAACTGGAGTAGACTCTACCATACATTCATCTAGATGAGTCCATTATGGTCTACAATGATGAAAGGGTTAGAATTATGAAGTTAAGTTAAAACATTCATTCATGAGATAAACAAAAATGAAAGTTTTAAACGTAAGACAAAATGTGAAAATATGGTGTGCAATTATTTCAATTATTTCTTGCATAAAATATCCCCAAATAATACAGTGCATCTAACAGGGAACTATAAACGTATCTACTTATCTCCCCTGTTTAACCATCGTAACAAAGCAATCATGTTCTTCATGCTAAATAGAGTTATTTCCCTTGTAAGCAATCATAAATTACCTCCTTCAACATTTTATACATACACATACTATATGTTAATGATTAAAATTTGAAAATGGGGGAGTATGTACATGAACACATAGATATGCAAATATCTAAATTAATTTACTCATGAATATGCATGTCAATATATGAATTCAATTTACTCATGAATATGCAAACATTTGAATTCATTAATGAATATGCAAATGTTTGGTTAATTCAAAATTGAATATGCAAATTTTCAAATTAATTTACTAAGCAGCATAACTAATATTTATGTTATTCACACATGACTCAAAATCTTAAATACAGTGTAATGATAAATTTATAAAAATACATTTACAAACTGATGATTCACTTTTCATATGTAAAATTTAGTATCGCATCACAACTTCCACTTACTATGATAATGTACATATATGATTTTGAAAGCTTGTGTCTTATATATCACTCTCATACTTCTCAAATCATATTTCCTTTAAATACTCATAAAATATACAAAGCTAGAACAGAAGCTATTAGAAATATATGGTCAATGCAAAAACGCAATTTTAGCAAAATGTTCATCAAGATAAGGTCTCCATTAAGAACACAGATCAAAGGAAGAACTCAAAATAAATTTCTCAGAATGATTTGTGGTATGAAAAAAGAATGTTTGAAAGAATTTACCAAAAACTGATCTAGGAAACCCTTGAAGTTTGTTTTCCAATTTTTAGACATACAAGTATCTCACAAACAAGTCTCGATCTCCAGAATGTTTTCTCCCCGTCTGTACCTCTATAAACAATGATGATAAACTTTTATACAAGAAAAAAATATTTAACAGCAATGATTATTTACAAGCGAATGTAGAAACAGGTTGATAATATAGCAAAGAAACTACAGTTAAACCACAATACAACACCCCTCACTTACTGCCGCCTTAGTGACTGCCCCCTCACTTACTGCCACTTGACATACCGTCAATGCATTTTAAGTACTCTTTTACCCTAAATATTTCTTAAAAATGCCTCCCTCATTACGATTCAAACATTGGCAATGTAATGAGATTTCTTGGTGAATCATTTTTTGTCTGTATGTGTTTTACACCCTATTAACAGAATCCAAAGGTAAAACAACACTTACAAGCGCAATTATTGAACTAAACATATTTCTATTCAAAGCATTAGATTTAAACATTTCTCAGTTTTGCTACAAAACTTAATGACAGATTTTTTATATTAAAATTGACCATATATTTCTAAATTTCACCTGCTGTAGTTCACAAAGTACTGTAACAATAAAATGTAATACTTCCTCCCTTATACACACAGCTGCTCTTTCTCCGGGTAACATCAATCACCCTAGACAGATTATCTTGATTACCTCTGTTTTCAGATCTACATTATTTCTCTTTTCAAACCTAAATTACTTCCCCTTTCCTATCTTAATAAACCTTCAATATTTAGAAATTTCCAACTTGAACCTCAACTGCCTTATAATCAAGGTTACTTCCCCTTTATGATCTAGGTTACTTCCCTTTTATGATCTAGGTTACTTCCCGTTTATAATCAAGGTTACCTCCCCTTTATAATCAAATCAAGGTTACCTCCCCTTTATAATCAATGTTATTTCCCCTTCATGATCCGGGTTACTTCCCTTTTATATCTTATTTACATACCCTTTCATATCTAGATAATCTTCACTTTCTTATTTTCACTCCATTGCCTTTTAGATTACCTCCCCTTTTCAGATCAGCATTATCTCTCCTATCAGATCTTTACTGTCAGATTACCACCCATTTCAGATCATTTTCTTTTTCTCATTTGAGCTTAGAAATCACCTCCCTTCATATACAGATATTCAAGGGTTACACAATATTTGTTCACTGGAACCAGAAATCACTGACTCCTAAAATATAACATGCATCCATTTGCATTAGAAGGGGTGTAAGGTGCTCTAGTAAACTCCCCTTCATCATTAATTATCTCCTCCCTTATCTGAAAATGGAACATACCTAATTTAATGTAAAAAATATTACGGGGGGAAATACATGATTTTACTTAATGTGATCAGAGAGACCATTATTTATTCAAAGAATATCATTTTTTAGTTTCAGTTCTAAAATCATTTAAATTTCTGATATAAGGGGAGCATAATCATGACGAGGTAATAGGTTTAATGTCATAAACTGGGTAAACATCATGAATAAGAAAGATATACAGAACACAAAATTGGAAAGACAAATAAATCAAAATGGAAATAATAAAAATATTTTTCATTGCAATTTTTATTTTTTTATTGCAAATGAAATTTAAAAAATTATTTCTAATATACACGTGTAATAGGACAAAACCAATTATTTTTCCATTATTTGTATTTTTTAAGGATTTGACTTTGAACTTGAATTGTTTATATTAAATGAATAGACAGGTACACCTTCATCAAATGAGAAACAAATAAGGGAGAATCCATTTTAACCCTTCCACCCCTATGTAACTTAAGTAAACTCTACCATGCATTGATCTGGCTGAGTCCATTATGGTCTACAGTGGTGAAAGGGTTAAGGGTATGATAACTTAAACTTAATACTTTTGATCGCTACCGGAATTAATTATCTCCCTTGGTCACATATTATTACTTTTTCTAATAATTATATGAATGTTGTTTAAAAATTATTTTAAAAGTCCATTTAGAAGTTATCTGAAGTACGCAATTTCATTAAAAAAAATCCTTAAGTTTAGCTCCTCAATTTTAACCCAAACAAAACACCAAGCAGATTTCAATCAGCGATCGATAACGCAATTCTTTTCATACCCAGATTCACAATGGTTTAGGTTTAACACATTCTACAGGAAGAACCTATTCCAGTGAATGGGGGTAATTGTGTTTGATTTCTGACATACATATATCTCACACTAAAGGCTAGCTATTTTTTACTTTCTCTCATTCACAATAGTGAGAGAAAAAAACAGAAAAAGGAATTTACAGATACCTTGCGAATTGTACAAACAGATACTTTTCATTACTGTAACTCAATGTCATATCCACACCCAGATTAAAAGGCAAGCATTTTAGGACATGTGCAATCTTACCCAATTTAAATCTGATTTGTGTAAGAGTTACCTACCTTGAAACTTCAAATTAATATTATCTAATAGCCAATAAGTGTTAACAAGGCATTTAATTCCACGTACCAGTCAAAAAAGAAATGTTTGGCGCTGTGGAACTCTTTTGAATAGTTATGTAGAAAAGAGTAAGGTAGCATAAAGCCTTAACTGAACTTTATGTCAGGTTCTACAACTTAAGCCAACAAAGAACCGTCAAATTTATATATATTTGAAAGTCAATATACCGGTATTGCAAGTCAATATACCGGTATTGCAAGTTTTATTTTACTTGCAAAGATTTAAACCACACAATATGCAAAATGTTTGTTTGGTGGAAAATAATCAGAAAAAATAATTTCCTGGTTTATTGAACAGTTTTATCCTTCATCCTGCTTAAAGATGCATGTCCAATTACAGAAAAAAGGCATAGTTATGTTATTAACATTACCTTAACCTTTGACTTTTGTTATTTACATTAACTTAACCTTTGACCTTTGTTATTTACATTACCCTAATCTTAACCTTTAACCTTTGATGGTTGCTACACCTAACTACTCTTTCCACAAACTAACTTATTGTTTGAAACTCTTTTGGAAAAAAGCAATGAGTTTCATAGTAAGGTAGCATGTAGCCTTAAGTTAAAACAGGAAGTAATCTTTGAACAATTGTTACCCTTTCTGTAGTGACAATGATACCTCATATTCACCTCGTACCAAAAATCTAAAAACACTGAGGTTACCATCAGTTCGGATATTTTACCATGGTTTAAATTTGGTATTCATCAAACAAAAGCAAGGCGGTGGAACTCTGATTCGTAAACTTTTCCTGTGTTTTTCCTTTTGCACTACTTTTCAATTTGGAGTTCAGAATTATGTTTGATCAAACATCTGAAAGCACTGAAAATATTTGATCACAGAAAACATTAAAATAAGAAAATCCCAATGCACTAAAAATATTTGACGACAGAAAACATTAAAATAAGAAAATCTGAATGCACTGAAAATATTTGCCGACAGAAAACATTAAAATAAGAAAATTCTGGTTATAACAAACAAGACATCAATTATCAATATTTTCAAATTCTATTTTGAGCTTGATTACAAAGCATGGCCGCTGAGCACAGCAGTACCGCACATCATAATCAAGCAGAATTTACATGCAGAGAGTCAACAATGCTTTATCACATAATGTACAGTGTTATCCAGGGAATATATACCCATGTCATAATTTTTTGGCGTATTATACCCATGTTGTATGACCTATCAGCCCTGTGATTGGTTGAAAGTTTACATCGTTTCAATTGTGACGTCACGCCTAGTACATAAGTACATGACGTCAGACTTATGCACTGGAGTCAAAATGGTGGCTTTTTACATTTCAAGGTTGCATGAAAATTGTCATTTCACACGATCAAATGACACAAATCTTGATTATGTGATAAAAAGTATCTTACACTCGTTTTCATTTCATATGAAATTTATGAAGCTCGTCACAAATTTTTCATTTTCGCTTGCCAGAGGCTTAATAACTAAACTGAAAAGTTCTTAGGACTCATTTCGTAATTTCTCATATGAAATGGAAACTCGTGTAAGATCCTATATATATGGATTATAACCTGGAGTTTTATCCTATATATATGGATTATAACCTGGAGTTTTATTCTATATATATGGATTATAACCTGGGATTTTATTTCTGGAGTATTCATGGACTCCCCAAACCATATCACAAAATATCTCCACTGAATATACCACCACTACATCAGCCAATCACATTCATCGTTACATGTTCAATATTTAACAAGTTTTCTTCCTCAACCAATGAATAAACTTGTTTAATACTTCCTCATCAGCCATTCAAATTCTATGTTTCATAAATGTCATCAGCCAATCAAAACTAAAGTTTCATCTTCTCAACTTCAGCCAATAAAAAAACAAGTTACAGGTCACTAAACAAGCCAATGAGAAAGGTTATTGATACTTTTTCATCAACTTATCAAAATCAATATTATAAATGTCCTCAGCCAATCAAAACTAATATAACATTTTCTCTTCTTCAGACGATGAAAACTACTGTAACAAGTCTCTAGAGCAGCCAATCAAAAGTCTCCTAAGAATAGTTATGATTCACGATCAGGGTCACACTTTCTTCTCCACGGCTTTGGCCTTTTTGAAGTTTTTCTTATCCTCGGGCCGATGTCCTCTCTTGGGTCCGCCTCCTGATGCAGAATATGGAGGAGGAGGTCCCTGTGGAGCCTGGAAATACACAAATATCCATTAAAACAGGACAAATATCCATTAAAACAGGACAAATATCCATTAAAACAGGACAAGACAAATATCCATTAAAACAGGACAAATATCCATTAAAACAGGACAAATATCCATTAAAACAGGACAAATATCCATTAAAACAGGACAATTGCGATGAAGTAAAATTAATTCAGTATTAATTTAGGAGGGTACCGAGTCATTTTTTTAGACCAAAGAAAGGTCAAATCTCTGGCTTCCTATGTGATGGTCAAGTGTATTCAACACAAACATAAAAAGTGCAGAAAGATGCAACATCTTACAAAATGCTGAGCGTACCATTTAACGATACATGGTTCTTTGTGTTACAGAAATACTCGACATGACATTAAACATGATTTGTTTTGGAATTATCTCCCTTAGTAAGTTTTCTTAACATTGTCCAATAATCTTAATAGCTCTGTTTATGTTTGGAATTATGTACTCCTTTCCTTAACCCTTTCACCCCTATGTAACTTTAGTAGACTCTTACTGTGCATTGATCTGGATGAGTCCATTATGGTCTACAGTGGTGAAAGGGCTAAGGGTATGACCTTAAACTAAATACTTTTGATCGGTACTAGAATTAATTATCTCCCTCGGTCACATTTTATTACTTTTTCTAATAATTATTTGTATGTTGTTTAAAAATTATTTTTTTTAGTAAACCAAACTTTGAATTTTAAACTGTATAGAAGCCTAACAATATGAAATGAAAATTTCTACTAAAGAAATGAATTTATTTGATTCATAACAATTTGTTTTATTATTTTCAGAAACAAATTATTCTTAAGCTTCTAAAATCAGGCACAACCATAGAAATACCCTGCCATACAAATTAAACTACACATGAATCCTTTTACTAATTAACCAATACCATAAGCCACTTTGAATGAAGCACTGAAGTAAAATTTTCACAAAAATACATTAATATTTACATACAATTTAACCATTTTTTGCCCGTGATTTCAGTAAAGTAGTGATCTAGCCTCTACAAGGGGGGATGGTAATGGAAATACCCTGCCAAAATGTATACTATGAGTAAAGAAATATTGTTTGAGATGTTTATATTCAAGTCAATTTTCATAAAAAAAATCCAGGCTTTGCGGGGTGTAAAAACAAATTTCAGGATACTTGCCCGGACTAGTAGACACTAATAATTCACTAGTTCGAAATAAAATTCTGCTAGCCCAATATATACAAAATGGATCAAGTTGACAACATGATCACACTATCTTTATCTCATTCACAGATGGATATGTTTTCCTTGATAACAAAGTAAAATTCATTTCAAATTATTATTTAATAATTGAATGCCATACAAATTATTGAAACTTAAACAAACAAAAATGTCTTAACCTTCCTGAAAATCAGTCTGGATACTGGCTTCAGTATTAGAAAGCATAAAAAACAAACATGGCAGACTTACGACTTTTGGAGAGAGGAACTTTATTTCTGTACCCCACACGCTTAACCCTTTCAACCCTACGTAACTTTAGTAGGCTCTACCATGCATTAATCTGGATGAGTCCATTATGGTCTACAGTGGTGAAAGGGTGAAGTCAAATAATTGAGAATGATTTGCTGAAAAGAGGGCCATTTTGGTGGTTAGTATAGACTTCCAACGCTATTTACGTAGTGAAGAGTGCCAGTACTTCCACACCACACCAAGCACACGTGTGAAAGGCAACAGAACGTTTTGCACCACATTGATCATCAATACGGCGTGAATGACTGCATGTGTTCTAACACAGTTATAATAGTGAACATTACCAGAAATGTATGGGTTTAAAATGTTGATTGGTTTCCCTCATGATGATAGAATGGCACAGGAGCATTTTTGTTAGTTATGACTGTCCTAAAAAAATCATTAGCCCTAGGCTATAATAGGGCCTCTAAATTTCACTAGCCCAAGCTTAAAATCTGGTAGCCCCGGGCGACGGGCTAGTGGATTTTTACGTCCCTGGCCTCCAAATACTGTTTATTTTTGTTTATTTCTTCTTTATTGCCTTTTCATAAAAGAATAAAATAAAATCAGATGCCAGCCAGTAATTATTACAATTTTCCGTACCAGATGAGTATGTCATCCCCCCCTTCGGGCCCCCCACCCATGGGTATTCAACCTAATTCATCGGACACACCACCGGCATGGGCCAAGTGTCTAATATCAAAAGTCGACGCGTTGACCAGCAAACTTACTAAATTAGACACCATCGAACGGGGTATTCTTGAGTTAAACAATGATGTGAAACATTTGAGATCCCGGGTTGCGGAAGTCGAGAAATCTCAGGAATTCCTAAATAAGAAATTTGAGGAAAATTTAGCCCCTGATATGAGTGGTATTAGGGCCAGTATCAATCGTGCTGCCGACGACATACTAGATTTGAAGTGTAGGTCCATGAGGGACAATCTCTTATTTTTCGGGGTAGAAGAAAAGGCCACGCCCGACTTTGACACAGTAGTAAACGAAAGTGGTGTTGAAGTGAGAGTACCGACTGAAGACTGCATTGCCAATGTAAATTGGATCGCGCATGACAAACTCGGTATAAGTGAAAATGTGATCATCGACAGGGCACACCGGATAGGGGAGAAGAAGGAGGGGAAGACTAGGCCCATCGTAGCCAAATTTAATATGTACCAACAAAAGGAGCTTGTAAAACGTAATGCAAAGAAACTAAAAGGGACAGATATTTTTATTTCCGACCAGTTTCCGAAAGAGGTTCAGGATGCGCGGAAGAGGCTATGGCCAGTGTGTAAGAAAGCGAGAAACGAGAACAAAAAGGCGGTGATTATTAGGGATAAACTTTTTATAAACGATAAAGTGTATGATGGACCAGTACCGGACCTTTCCGCGGCCGCGGCCGCGGCCGGGAAGGGGACCCCCACGGGACGGGACAAGCCTAAAGGCCGAGGACGTCAGTCCAGTACAAATTAGGACAGTGATGAGAATGAGAGTATTTCAAATACTCTAAATGTACTGTCATGGAACATTAATGGTGGATTGGACAATAAATTAAAATCTAAACAATTTCAAAATTTTATTAAAACATATAATCTTGTATTTTTGACAGAATGTTGGATAACAAATGACTACCAAGTTGATATTGAAGGTTACTCTACCTATGTAATACCTAGAAAACGTACTACACATTCCCAAGGAGGTGGCATGTTAATTATGATTAAATCAAATTTAACTAAATATATTTCAGTTTGTGAAATTATATGTGACTCTATAGTTTGGCTAAAAATTGATAAAAGTCTTATTGGTCAAGGAAATGATGTGTACCTGGCATGTGTCTATATTCCACCTTCCAATTCCCAATTCTATAACCAGTATAACTGTGATTTATTTTTTGAATTGGAATATGGTATAAGTCAATATTCCCGAAAGGGTGATATTATGTTGTTGGGAGATTTTAACAGTCGTACCAGTAATGTATGTGATTATGTAAAATATGATATTATTCACGACAGTGTTAAATGTCAGCTTTCTGATTTGTTTTCATATGTCTCTGATGATTATTATACTGATAGGGTTAACCCCGACACAGTGGTAAATCATTTTGGAAACCGACTTATAGAATTATGTAAGGCGAGTTGTTTGCGTATCTATAACGGAAGAGATTTAAATAAGTATTCAAATGACTATACATATTGTGGCCATAATGGAATGAGTGTTATTGATTATTTGATTGCGAGTCCATGTTTATTGTATTGTGTTAAACAGTTTATTGTTGGCAATTTCAATGTGTTATCTGACCACGCCCCACTGCACGTGCAAATACGAACGCGTTTTTCATTGGTCGATAATGATGATACACACGTGTGTGAACCGACAGGTAACGAGCGACCTACTTATCGATGGAATGACGAAGGCAAGGTAAGCTTTTTAGATGTACTCTCAACGAATCAAAACGATATTAACGAGTCGGTTATACTATCGGAAGATGTTACCCAAAATGATATGGATGATTGCGTTACGCGATTTTCAAACGTATTGCTTCGAGCAATGGACCCCTTTCTCTCGCGACCGAGTACACACAGGAACGACAAGCGTGCGGGAGCAATGGGGCGAGACCAGGTAAATAAACAAGTTAGGTATGATACAGGTATATCCGAGGACAAACCATGGTTTGACCCCGATTTGAAACATGTATGGAATAATTATAAAAATGCATTGAGTTTGTTTAATAGTTCTAAGTCTGTAGAGAATCATAACAATTTAATTAATAAGAAAAGATTGTACAAAGCAGCAGAAGCAAAGAAAAAAAGAATGTACATGAAATATGAAGGTGATATGCTTGATCAACTAAGAAAGTATAATCCGAGACAATTTTATAAGAGATTCTCGTCGCCTAAAGCAGCTGGACCTCAAATGAGTATGGATAATTTGTACGACCATTTTAAGACTTTGTCATCTGAGAATGTTAATAATTCAGATGTAACAGAAAATAGAGGTGAATTTAATTCCAATGATAACTCTATTCCAATTTATGATGAATTAGACTGTCCTATTACGGTGTATGAGATAGCTAAAGCGATAGGTAACCTGAAACGGGGTAAATCACATGGACTTGATGGAATTTTAAATGAATGTTTCGTAGTTGGTAAAAATGTACTATTGCCTGTTTTGAGTGTACTATTTAATGGCATTTTTAATTCTGGATGTTTTCCCTCCGAATGGTCTATAGCTGTTATTACGCCAGTTCATAAGAAAGGAGATAAAAGTGACCCTAACAATTTTAGAGGTATTAGTTTGGTAAGTTGTCTAGGCAAACTGTTTACATCAATTTTGAATACGAGGTTGGTAAAATGGTCGGAGTCTTATGATATTATTACTGACGCACAGTTTGGTTTTCGTCCTGGTCTTAGCACTGTTGATGCCGTTTTCGCTCTGCATTCAGTTATTACAAAATCTTTTAGTGAAAATAAACGTCTATATTGTTGTTTCGTGGATTTTAGAAAGG